CACTTTGCAGGGAGTTTCAGCCTAGCAAAAGCTTTCCTCTTSCCTGGAAGGCCTGAGCTCCCACGAGGAGCCCTTAAGAAAAGCTCCTTTCTGCTCTTATGGAGCAGCATGTGATGCCAGAGGGAAATATGCACTGAGGGTCTGAATTGTAGGAGAGTAACAGTAGATGAGGAAGGGTAGCAATGAGATTGATGGTGACTATAGGTTTCTCCTTCAGAGAACAAAACTGTATTTGACCTCAAATTTGTAATTCTTGGGAAGAAGTGAACCAAAGAGAACTGGTGATATGCAAGCTGTGTAAACCCTCACATTTGACTCGTTTTTACCTGGGTCTCTGGGACAGGCAGAAGCTCTGAGAGTCACATATGAAAGACATAGATATAAACTCCCCTWTTTCTAATGTTATGGCTTAGAAAACTGATCCTTTGAGCCTACCTTATACCTATCCTGGTGAGACCTTTTTAGTAGCTTTTTTTCTTTAGAGAGGTAAAAACAACTGAAATTTCAAATACATTTGCTCAAGATATCAGGAAATACCTGTCCAGCTTTTTATTTTGATATAAGCCAAGAAGATTCTTTTCAAATGCATCACAAAGAAGTACGAGTAATAATTTTCACTCATGTGAACCATCTAGCTTATCCACTGAGGCCTAATGGAGGTGGAGCAGCTGAAGAGCCGAGGACTCTTTCATATTGCAGCTTTGCTTGGAGATATCAGGCAAGATCAGGGTTTGGCTGGGCAAATATGTAACGTTACCTCCCTAGACTCATGTGTCTTGGTAGCAGKGAGAGATGAAACGAAACGTAATTCCTCTTTTAGGGGTGGAAAAATAAGGCACTGRTGTATCATGTTCATTATTTTCTGTGTCTCTGGCCAAACTAAGTCTTGAGCCCTTCAGGGTTCAGAATTTGAACCTGGTGCACAGCYGGTCTCTGTCTCTCTAGGTGCTTTACAGAATAATCCAGAAAGTTGAAATAATCAGAGAAGCCCTGGTTTGTTATTGTCACTAGTTGCTACAGGAGATTTCAGAACTTTCTGTGCCTGCCAGGGGTGCAACTTCAGCCCTTTTTAATGTGCTGGAGGGATGCAGAAAGGATTTGACTTTCCAAACAGAGTTTGGKCCTTGAAATATGCTCTTATGCAGATTAGAGCACTTATTTCTGATTTAGCAAGGACCCCTTAAAACACTGGGTGGAACCACAGAGCATTTTTCCTTCAGCTTCATCTGCCAAGATGAATTAGGAGCCAGCTAGAGGCTGGCCTGGTGGGAAATGGCACTGCTTTAGAAATTCAATTTGCCTCCTGAACTGAAGGACGGAGGAGGTTCCAAGCCTGTGTCAGTCAGTTCTGCTATTAACAGGAAATCTGTGAAATGCTGGAGGAGAAAGTAGCATCAGATGTAGCTTTTAGACATTTCCTACATGGCCTTGATGAGATCCTGGAACTCGTGTTCACTCAGGCTCGACCTTTGCTCTCCCAGGGACAGGAGACACTTCAGGCTGGAGCTGCTGTGGTGGCCAGGCTGGGACCGAACTTTATGTTCTGGCTTTGACCCTTGAACAGAGCCAGGAGCCCTTCTGCTTTCCTGCTGGATGCTGGAAACTCCCCCAAAAGCACGCGCAAAGGAGGAATAAGTGATTTATTACTTATTTTGAAGTTATGCTCTTTTCTACTATGATATATCTGTCAGTCYTTCTTAAGGACTTCATGAGTCCTCCAGATTCCAGTAAAGATTTTTATGCACTCTGCGAAACCACAAATCTTGTAACAGTTGATGACTGTGCGTGCTTTAGACCCTAAGAAAGGAATGTAAAGATATAGGGTAAAAGATATAGGGTAAATAAATAATTTACTTCTCCAAATTTCTAGTTCCATCGACCGCTCATTTTCACTTTGGGTTTTGGCTCACAGACAACATCCTTCTCTAGCAAAAGGCAGAAAGAAATGTGGCTGGAGGAAGTGAGCAGGCACTTTTAGTCCTAAAGAGACTGAAGCTCTTACTGTGGTTAAAGGAAGTGATGCTGCAAAGAGAAGATAAGAACAGATCTCGCCTCACCCTTTGTACTACTATTAAGCAGCATAGAACAGTAATATTTATCTGTAGGGAATATTAAAATGAGCTAATTATTACCTATAGAACAAGGGAAGGGAAAGAGAGAGAGAAATAAGGTGAGAATAAACTCAAGGAAGGAGCATAGTAACACATATGTTGCTGGTTATGGGTAATTCATAGCTTAAAATTGAATTTTCATTTTATAAAGCTTCTGTCTGATTTTTTTTACTGTGTCAGATCTCTTTTTTTTCGAAGCAACTCTATTCTATCAATGCTGTGTGAGGTAATACAAGTTCTTTTGGCAGGGCTACACTGTGATGAAATAACAAACATTGCATTATGAGCCCCCGTAATGGAGGAAAAACATCTTTCTATTGTGCAAGCAGACAGCAATATAACCCAGAATTGCCCCTTAGGAATAAACTTATTCCTACAACAAAACGTGTTGTGAAAGCCTTTGTTCTGATCCCTCGGGATTTTATGAATTGTCACACAATCTATGTAGATCAGTCATTTGTTCTGGTAAGCAGACTTGGCTTTTCTGTGAAAGTTGGCATAATAAAAATATTAAGCAGTGGTTTTGCAGATTCAGAAGAATACAAACCATGTTTCTTTTTCTGTGAAGCAAATAGAGGTCTGAACTATCTTCTCAAGCRCCAGCTGCCCGGCTGAATACCATGACAGCCTCTAGTTGACTTCAGCTAGACCTAGAGGAGTCTGGGGAAGCCTCTAAACACCTATGTAGATTGAGAAAATTGATATTGTCAGTTTGCTCTGTCCTTTTATGAATTTTTATACGGGCTCTTAGTGTTCCAGCTACCTTTTGCTGAGAGAAATACCAGTATCTCACACATTTGGAAGCTTTCGCTACAGTAATACTTGGCACATATTTAATGATCCCTATCTGGCTAAGTCTTTTCCCTTCCTAGGTGGAGAACAGCAGGGATGTTACTGATGATGCCTGTAATTGTCTCACAGAATTTAACTGTGAGCTTTACATTTATTCCATGTAAAGTGCCTACTTGTGATCACTGCTGGAATCACTGGAGCTATGTATGTCCCCCATGGGGAAACAGTGCCTTTTGACTGGTATTTCCCAAAGGTATTTATTACACAACTGGACAAGCAGGAGCCTGATGGACGTAAAACTGAGCAAGCAGCATTGCTGCATTGTAATAATCCAAAGCCACTGCCTSCTAATCCTTAGCAAAGCAATCTCTAGCTGTATTATACTTTTTCAAATGAGATGGAAAACATGATTTATTTCAATGGGCTTCTCATAACAGTGAAGTCTACCTTGCAAATATTTTAATATATTAAATTTAACTGCGTATGCTTAAATCCAACCAACAACCCCCTGTTCAGAGCAAAACAGGATAAAAGGAGAATGAAAATGGCAGGATTTTTTTTTTTTCATTCTAGCTACATTAATCTCTGACAATAAGTTGCTGAACTTCCCCTTTGTGTGTGAGCCTGCGTAGCGACTGCCATTTCTGCCACCTTCCTCGTGCTGCCTCTCCGGTGTCATTAGCATTCCCCTCCTGCCTCGGCACCAGAGGGGAGCTGTAATTAAAATTCACTGTGACAGTGCATGTCAAATGCAGAGGGTCCCTCCTAGACAAAACCTTTGCTAAGCTCCTCTTCATTTTGTGGTTGCACCGGTCATGTGTGTTGCTTTCTAAGAACAGATTAGCAGGAGCRGCTCAGGCTTTTGTGATACGTTGTGCCAGATTTATTTAGATCATTCTTGCCCATTAAATATCTTAGGCTTACTGGTTGTCTCTTGCTTATAAAACAAAGCAAATAATCCATTAATTATTTTACGGCAGAGCCTGGATATACTGGATATACTAAGCATGACAGAGCGCAGACAGCTCTTCAGCAGCTCACTTGTTATAGGAGCCTCTCTGAAGCTGGAGAAGGAAATCATAGGACCATTTTGAGGGAACCAATTCAGAGTAGAGCCTCTTCAGATGCAGTTTCTCTCCCTGTTTTGGAGAGATGATCAAAAAAAATGAAATATAGGATAACGTTTCAGCTAGGAGGCCTTGAGATGTAGCTTGCCTTGCAAGGAGGGCTTGCAAGAGGGCCGAGGAATCCTGCAGGACAGGCAGCTCGTTGGAATGACAGAAAAAGAAGGGCTGGGGGAGGCCTCTTGTCACCAGCTCTGCTCCCTGCTGACAACCCTGGTCAGGAAAAAAAATGGAAGAGACACTCATTTTCTGATCTGTGTGCATTCCCATGGCACACACCTTCCTCTTGGGAGAAGCAGCACAAGCAGTGAACACAGAAAATGGAAAAAAAAAGGGGTAGGAGTCATCAAAATGCTCTTCCTGTTCCTGTAGTCACTAGGAAAAAGGAGCACTTGCACTTAATCTTCTCATTTTGTTTGGAAACTACTTATTTTATTTTTTAAAGTCATTAACATGCAGTTGAGAATCTTATCACGCCTCAGGACTTGCACTTTGCCTTGGAGCTCTCTGTGCTGTGATCACTGATTGCTCCAACCTCGGTATGAAGAAGTCATGGCACAACGTGAGGCTACCTCTGCAGGCACATGGCTTTTAGATGGAAGAAGTTTTAAGGACCCTGGAATAAATACCCGCAAAAGAGCAGGGCAGCAATTAAAAAAACCCTTAGGCAAGCCCAATCTCACATGGAGAGCAAAATACCCAGTGGGGCGAGGAGGACTTCAGAGTGCAGCAGCTCCAGTCTCATCACTAGAGACGTGGCCCTCACCTCATTAGGTCAGATTAACACTGCTGGGGCAGGGGTGGGATAATCAAGACCAGAGAGGCCCTGGAAGCTGGAGAGATGCTGATCTAATAGTGTGATCGTGCAGGTAATGAGGACAAGCTGGGCCTCCTCCCGGAGTATTTTAGAGGCCAGGCAGGGGTTRGGCCTGCTGGCAGGCTGCCTTGGAGGAGAGGAGCAGAGGAGCCTTGGAGAGGATGGCTCTGGCAGCATCTCATGGGACTTTCCCTGCTCTCTCAAAGGGGCAGGTGAGTCAGGCAGGGAGAGGAGCCAGCTGGGCTCACACATCTGCCCTTCAGGAGGTGCTGGGGAGTGAGCCAGGCCCTCAGTGGTATGGGGAGCGCTGGCTCCACTGTGGAAAGGAGATTAYAAATGAAGCCCTGTTGCTTCCTGCCCTCCAGCTTTTGAGTCCACTCACTGCATGTCCTCCCTAGGATGTGGAGGAGTTTTGTCACGTAGTCATGGTGTAAAATGTAGTCTCRCTTCTGAGATGTGTAATGGCTTTGGTAGCTGAAATCACTGCGTGCACAATGAGCCCTGCTGGGGGTTTCCTCTTGCCCTTCCTATTTGGTTCTGGATTGCACTGAAAATGATGAGAACAAATCCATGGGTTTGTTGATGGGGGCTTTAATGCAGCCCCTGGGGAGCTGGGTGCTTTGAGCAGGCTCTSCCCTTCTGTGTGTTTGGTTGTATCCTCCTGCCCAGGCTGCAGGGTTGATGGCAGGTACCCTGGAGAGTCAATATCYGCTGTGTTTCCTTTGCTCCCTCTCCTGCTGAGAGTTCTTGTGACTTTCCCAGTGTGTGGCTGGGTACCTCATGTGTCACAACTGCCATTACCCTCTGCATTTCAGCTGCTCACCTTCTCTCTATGCTTTTCATTGCAAAGTCTAGAGCATAATGTCCCTCACAACTTGTTCTATTTCTTTCCAGGTGGTCTGATACAAAGCCTCCCTCTCTCCTCTGGCCAGTGACTCCCCGAGCCAGAGAGGAGCACATTGGAGAGTGTCTAAGGTGGGTGCCAGCCCTCGCTGAGGGCTTCCTCCTTGAACAGAAGGAATAACATCAGCTCTCCCCAATGCCTCTCATGATCTGATCAAGTATCATTCTATAGGTGCTAGAGCTCAATTTTGCAGCACCAAACTTGTATATTTTACACACAGGCTTGAAAGTAACTGCTTGCACACCCTTATGCTCTGAATGGAATAATACATACCAGCTGTATTTTAAAATCTAGCTGGATTTAGACATTATTAAGATGTAAGCCAAATTCAGGAAATTACCTTGCTAACAGCTCATTGAATATTTCCATATATGGTGCTTATTACTGTTATTACAAATGAATTCATGGGAAATGTAATTAAGTTCTCAAAAAGAAACAAAAGTTTTTATCTATTAAGTGTACTGGCCAAGTTTACTTTTGGCATATTTCCTCCTCACATAAAGGTTTTCAGTACATTATTTTTCTCTGAGTAATCTTGTTACTAAATTAAGCTTTAGAGTCAACATCCACTCACTATGTACCATATAAAACATTGATAACTTCAGTGTGTTGCACCTGTGGCCAGGGACCCTTTAAATATTTAAGGCTCTGTTCTCAAATTACACTTGTATAAAGATTACCTTTATTTTCCCTGTGTAATTCTTCTAAATTTTGGAATGAATATGTCCAAATTTATTTGTCCAGCATCTCTGTTTGGGAACTGAAGACCTTCCTCCTGCYCATGCTTAACTGCCCCACCAGGCTGGTGTAACAGTACCTAAATATTTAAGTAATGGCACCTATTGGTGGCAGATGACACTCACTGGTTAACTTTGATCTGGAGGCACTTCAAACCACAAGAAATTATGCAGGAGAGCATGAACATATCTTGGTGAAGTATCAAATTTTGTCTGCTTGTTTAGGCAAGGAGGGAGCACAGCAGTAAAATTAGAGGAGTCATTTCTTGGGGAAAAGAGTATTAAAACATGAGCGAAAGCAGCATGTCTTCAGTCTGTTGCTCCCTGCAATGATATTTGAGCTTGTAATTTCTTTGGAGAGCACAAAAGGTGAATCTGATCTGGAAATGGATCAAAATAATGCTGTGCATGGAAAATACTCTTCCAAAAACCCATTATGGGCCAGCAACTATCTGTTCATTCAATCAATGCAGACTAAAGCTCTGGTCCTGAAAGGTGCTTTATGCGGAGAAAGGGGTTTGCTGCCCTCAGCCAGACATTGTACTGGTACATGGCTGAGGTCTCGCAGATCTGTTTGCTGGATTGGAAGGGAATTTAGTAAAAACCTGCATCTGTGTTAAAGATTATGCCCTGGATAGTTCTGTTACTGCCTGCAAATGTATTACTTATTATTAGTGTTTATGCTAGGGGGAGAGGCTTGTGATAAGACTAAATACCCTTGATGSTGCTTCTGACAGCCTTAAAAGCATCTTGGAACTGATGCAGAAATCCTCTGCTCGGTGAGCAGTGCTACTCGGTCACGGCTGTGGTATCCATTTGCTGATAGGGAGCCTCGGACTGGAGAGCGCTATGCCTGCTCCTTAGAAATTAAGATGTTTTAGGAGCCTTATCCTGAAAATCTTCACTTGAGCCCTCCTGCTCTGGCCAAGGTGTGCAGTGTGTTGATGAAGAGCACCACAATGAAGGAAAGGGCTGTTTGCAGGGGACCTGCTGCCTCTCCAGGGCCTCCTAGCAGCACCACGGAAAGAGCTGAGGACAAAATCACTGGGGACACCCAAACTGCTGCGGCAGGAGCTYGCTCAGCTTCTGCCTGGAGCTTGTGCCTTCCCCGGGAACTGGAAATGCCACGGGGTGGCAGCAACCCCACTGTTTGATACTGACATGGCAAGTTACAYCATGAGCGACTGGGACGCTATAGGAGAGTCAGAGTAACCTCCCCTGTGAGCCTTCGCAGCCCTCCTGGGATAGGATTGCTGCTGGTACTCACCCTGACTCACTTAATGGAGCTTAGGTGGTGACATCAAATGAGCTACTGGCCTTCAAGTGTAATTTGGAAGATCCTTTTAAGGATGCCTGATAGCATAACTCCAAGGGCAGTCTTGTTAYAGGAAGTGGGATTTGCTGACAGACCACAAGGCAAGTGAGGCTCCTCTCAGGGTTTCAGCAGCAGCTGGTAACTTCCAGTAGATGTTCAAAGGGCTTCATCTCATTAGTTCTTCTGAAAGAGCCATATGTTTCTACCTCATTATTTAGAACCAAAGTGTTGCTTTATATGGTGAGGAATTCATGCTATCGGATATCGACTTTGTGGAAGTTATACAGTTGTTTTCAGTGGGGGCTGCAGCTTGCTCCAGAACATGATCCAATTTGGCTCAGCAGATGTTGATCAGTCCAGGGGGCAGGGAATCAACCCAGTCAGTTTCTCATAGAAAATGAGCTTCTCCTCTGTTGCTTCTGAAAACCTTATGTTCTTGCTGCCGTGGGGTGGGTGGGGAAGCAGTGCCCTCTTTGAATTATAAATAAGTAGATGGCAACACCTTTGATTAGAAAGTGGAATATATCAAGCCARAAGCATTTTTTAAAGGATATAGCCCAAACATATCTACACAGGAAAACTCTATTTCCCTGCTATAGGACTGGCCTGACTTACCTATGGTAGTGACTGAATTGCCTGTAAATGCTTGATGCATCCTGAAAGATGCTTGCTCCCAGCCTGCTTTATAGCTGAGACTTGCAGAGACTTAGTTAGCACTGAAAGGCCCTTTGGGCAGGCAGAAATAGGAAGGGAAAGATGTGAGGTAATGTTGGCATTGGGCTCTTCCTTCAATGTGACATCCCTTGGATCCCGTGCCCGAGTCATTCCAGCAGGGCTGGAAGCGCTGCAGGCTCCCAGTGAACATTTAGGCAGCAGCTCCATCTGCCGTGGATGCAGCTGAACAGCAGAGGAGGGATGCTCTGCTTCTCTCCCAATTTAAACCAGCTGAAAACCAGATTTAAAAGCCAGCTGTCATCTCCCACTAGGCTTGAGGTCAAACCTGAATATTGGGGTTTAGACACTTACTATAAAGCAAGGCATGATTGTGCAGATCTTAAGGGAACCTGAGCTTGTTGGAAAAACTTGTGTATTCCTTAGTTCTTTTAAGAGCAATAGACTAATCTTGTGCTCTGTTAACTAAGAGCTTGATTAATCTGTCTTGCTAAAATAGAAGCTGTCAAGTTTCTACAGAGCCTCTAGGGTACCTCTACCAGAAAGTGGYCAAGAGAAATACATCTTCCCTAAACAGAGAAGTTAGAAAAACCCTCTGAAYTGATCTTATCAAATGAAGAAGTTCAAGCATGGCCTCCAGATCTGAAAGTTCATACAGAGCAGACCCGCTTTGGAAGATGACCCCGACAACAGGGCCTTTAAATGAAYGGACTGATGCTGTGCTGAGAGCTGTTTGGCAACCACAGCTGCCCTTTTCCACCCTGTAACTGGTAAAACTGTTTTCATGCAAAAGAATGGAAAATTGCTCAATGTGYTGAAGACTTGATCCAAAGCATATTGGCTTCAAAGGCCAACCCAGACCTCTGGCTTCAGAGGAATTTGGAGTAGACTCATCCCAAGGAATCTTCACTTTGAACACTGAAAAACAATCATTTTTCAATAAATATTAACCAATCACTCAAAGGCATACTAAGTCCTGAAATAATAGCAACAACTGAAAATGGTGAGGAAATAATGTTCTTATCAGGACAAGGGATTTTACCTGAGTGAGGTCCRAAACAAAAGCCACATATTGCATGTGTCATAAACCCTCAGCAGGATTAAATACCTGGCTGGGAGTAGGGTGGTTGGAGCTGGGCTCTAAGACAGCACAYACTGCTTGGAGAAGGTTTTGCTGGACAAGGGAAACCCTAAATTGCCCCAAATGCCTAATGCCAGGAGAGCATGAAGGGCCCTGCACTTCAGGTGTATGCTGCAAAATAACTTAGCCGACTGAGTCGGGGATTGCAGTAAGCCATCTGTATCACTTTGGCAAAGCATTTTCAAAGYTTTTGAGACGCAGATTTGTGAATTGTTATTAACTGCATCTCAAACAGGAGCTGGTGCAAAAGAGTTTACTTAAAATGCAAACATCTGCCTTAACCCTGTGCTTTGGAAAGCCTTATTGATGGCAGAGGAGAGCTTYGCTTTGTTAATCCTCATTCCTACCTTTTCCAACAGAGGCCTGGTGGCCTTCCTGGAAGTGGGACTTTGACTTGTCTTCTCAGTTGGCAGTGCATAGAACACAGGGCTCTTGCAGGAAACCTTGAGTTCATGCTTTGTATATTTACTCGGGGACAGGCAAAGGCAGAAGCTCAGATCTTGACCTGCGGTTACATCAGCTTATTCAGCTTCAGCAGCCAGAGCACGTGGCTATTAGTAATCTAGTGAAAAATGTATCAACACTTGCTTAAAAATAAACAGCCCACTCAAAAAAAGGAAGTTACAATAAATAAAGTGCATGAGAAGTAGCAATAAAAAAAAATGTAGCTGGAGTCATAATTGGCATTAGAAATAAATGACTTAAAAGCAGGCGGCACTAAATATTTTCCTTCCTCCATCTTGCCACTGAAATTTCCCCAACTGGAAGAGAGCAAGTGCTCCCAAGCCTGCATGCAGCAGGAGAAGACATCACTGTATTTAGAGGCACTCCGGGGCTTCTGCCCACACAACTTCCTTTCTTAAAGTCATGCTGTTGAGGGAAATTTTTTTTTCCTTCTGCTTGCTCAATAGGGCATGGTGAGCTCATAAGCAGGAGACTTCAACTTTCAAATCTGACCTCGTCCGAGATCTAGTTTTCCTCTTTATTTATTTTCTTCAGCAGCTTCCATGAACCAAGCTGCACTCCGTTAAGCTAGTCCTCACCAGCTTTCACTCCTACTTGTCTGGAGAAGTTGTTCTGAATGGCTCTGACCAGCCTGTGAGTAATCCCACAGGATTAATAGAATCTCAGATAATCTGGCAGCTGCCTGATGGGACTGCAGAAAGCAGGGGAGGGAAGGGGATGATGCTTATACTTTTTGATCTCTTTTTTACAATTCAAATTACAATTTACAAATTTAAAGTTTCTAAAATTAAAAAAAAAAAAAGCTCTAAATCACCAAGGTAAAAGCAAAGGAGCTTTCACCCCTTAGCACTGCTGTTGCTGGACGAGAAGATGTTTCCCTATTATTATGGGAGAGAATGGCCCAGAGGCTCTGCAGACCCCAGTGCAATCATGGCAAGTACCAGCTCTGTCCTGACAGATCTTCATACAAACCCTTAGGAGAGATGCTATCAACTGTGACATCCCCCCACATCTTGTAGAGAGATCATCCTCCCACACATGTTGATGTTGTTCTCCAGGCAGAGTACATTTTTATTGTGTGGGTAAAGTTAGATGAAAATAATGAGTCAATGGCCTCACATTTTTTTAAACAGATGGTTGAGTTTTCGCTTGTGATTTCAGCCAGCTTCTATGCTTGGGTGCCTCTGTGCTTGGGATGCAATACTTGCTAGAGCACCTGTAGAGAAGCCATAGGTTTAAAATGACTTGGAATACAGATCTAGGTGTAAYGATATTTTGCAGCAGAAAGCCTTGCTTTAGTGAGATAAGTAATGAGGTTTTTCAAAGAGGAGGGTGGATGGGAGGTGTCTGGTGATGGTGGTTCAAGGGACTCCTCAACGAAGAATAATTGTGCTGAAACTTGGGCATCCTGCCTGGCCTCATGTCTAGATGGGCGGCTACGTCCCCTGGGGCAGGGAAAAGGCTCCAGGAAAGTATTGGAGAGGCAAGAGTGCATCCTTTGGAGAGGTACTAATGTTAGGTTTTCTTGTCCATCTCCCTCTCTGTTGAAGAGCAATCCTCTTACTCATGTTGAGTAGTGCTTTCCTGAAGAAATAATCCTAGTGACATCATTAGGCCTACACAAATATTCCTCGTGAGTAAAGAGCTGGTGTGTGCAGGAGGGGGTATATGAAGATGTTCAGAGTCCATAGTTTGCAATTCCATGGGAAATGCTAGGGATACATACATATTAATGCAAAATTCAAGGTAAATGTCCTTAAGGCTGTGCTAGAATTCTGCCCAGCTGAATGTGAGAGCATATTAGTAATCCAAATTTGAAGGATTTCTTTCCCTCTATTGTAATCAAGTTGGCTTCCTGCTATTGTCTGGGTTCCACTGGCTGAGATTAGATGTTGGAAGGGGAAACATCTAAAGGAGCAAAAAATACTCCAAACAGTTTCTGTAGGTCTTGTGGTATCTGAATTCATGCTAGGAATTCTTTATACTGACAGCCGCTTGTGTCACCAGGGGGGCTAGCCCTGACTGATAATGTCTGGGTGATAAGTGTGACAAGCAGCACTTTGGTAATGCAGAGCATGAGGACTGGAAAATTCATCAGCCATGTTCGAAGAACTAGTTTTGCCACCCATGTGACAGTTCCAGTGAGCGTATTTGTGGCTTTTTGAGCTGTGTGGTATCCCGCATCCACGTGGTAGGAAGGTCCATGTGCTGCAGAGCACTTCAGGGCAGAGATGTTGAGCTGCCCCTGCCATGTCTCAGTGGTGTGCACACTGCAAAAGCAGTTTTGGGGCTCCTCCTGCACCCGGTGTGCAGATATTAAAATAATTCCCACTTCCACTGTGGCTGGAGATGGTCCAGATAAGCCGGGAGTGAGGGAAAGGAAAAATCTTGTGATGGGAATGGAAATATCCTGCTGCCTTTGCCTCCTCCAGAGGAGCCTGGAGGCGGGGAGGGTGCTTGGAGCGGCATTTATCCATGCTGCCAGTCCCATGCAGCTCGCGTAGGAAGTTTCTCACTCTCAGAGGCTGCAGGGGGGTGTTTCTCCCCCATGGGTGATCTAATTCTGGTGAGTGAAAAACCATTTGGAAAGACTTTCTGACCCGCACTCGAGCCAGCAGGAACCAGAGCCCGGGCCCAGGGCTCTTCCCTGGCTCGCTTGCTGCCAGGGGGTGYGGACACAACATGAGAACTTTGCTGGAAGAAATAGGTCCTGAGAACATAAAGCAGCCTAAAGCAAGTTTCAGACCCCACTGGGGGTGACTGTGCAGCTTATTGGATTTTAGTAGAGTTGTTCCAAAAGCAAGCAGCATTTTTGTCCAAGGCACATGATTCTCCTTTGAAAAAAAAAAAAAAAAAGATAGAAAAATGTTTACGGAATAGAGCTGCAGTGCCTCATCACTCAATGCATCCTTGATACTTTCATTTATGTGGTTTCTTATTCAACATGTGTTTGAATCATATGACTTCCACCCCTTTATAAGAATTTATCTACTGGGAGCATTTTTAAGAGTGAAATGTYGGTCAGGTGCAGACCAGACATGTAATAATTTTTTTTCCTGTTCCCCAGGCCAGTTCTCTGGAATTCCCCTCAGCTGCTTTCTCATTTTTAATGTTCCCTTTCTACCAGAGGACAAGATTCCTTCTCACTGGCCAAGGAATATATTGAGGTACTGCTGCAGACTAGTGCTTAGCAAATCTGATCCACCTACAGCACAACTCAGTGTCCTCTGCTTTCCCTAATGAGTCTTTCGGTGCTTCCTGTATTTTTCCAGCTGGTCCCTTCTGGCTTGTGGTACTGGAGAGCTCTCCTCAAGCCTTGGATGGATCAAAAACTTGACAGCAGCAGAGGATGCTACTGAACCGAGGGTTCTTTAGGGAGGTTTTCCATTCATCTTCCCTGAAATAAARAAGGAGCAACATTTGAATAGATATGTCAGGAACATGCAACTGTAAGTAGAAATGAGGATGGAGAAAAGAGCTGGGTTGTGCCCTTCCTTACCCATACGGTGACTTCTCTGCATGAGGCCATCCCTGCCTTYCAGCACGTGTTTCCCACCACTGTTTGATTTGATATTCCATAGCTTTTGTCTGTGGATTCTTGTAAGGCATCTACATGGAAATGCAAGGAAGCAGGAAATGCTGAAATGTGAACAGTGCCATTGTCCACAGTGAACTATTTCCCAATGCCGAGTGCAGAGGAGACCAGAAACACATGCATGGCATAGTTTTAAATCATTTCTCTCCGTATTGTAGTAATGGAATTGCTTCCAATGGGAAAAAAAAAAGCACAATTCTTTAGTTTTCCCATTTATTTCTTTGCTTACATTATATCTAAATATTGTCACGAGCATGGTGGATGCGCAAGAAAGATGAATCAACATAAGAATAAGCATGGGGGTGGTGTGATGCTTAAGGAGCAGCTTGATGCTTGGTGGCTTAAGCAAGACATGTGGCATGAGCTGTTTAGAAATCCAACTGAAATATTGTATCTAAACTATGTGATCTTGCATGTTTGCTCCAGGGAGCTAAATGTGGAGCACTTTTGGCCTTTCTGTGCATTGACATCACAGGCCAGCACAGCTGCTGGCATTGGTGCCTGTGTCACATGAACTGGATGAAATCAGGGCAACATCTGGCAGTGAACTCTTCAGGCGCCCGATCAGAAAACTGAGTGCAAAGAGGAAATGTGGTGGTTTTGTTGTCTCCTGGGTGCTTTAAAAAAGACAGGCGCTCAAGAACAAAACTATTTCTTAATGAGGTCTACACAATCTTTCCAGCATTAGCAGTTTGCAGTGAGCTCAGACAGCATCTCCTGGGAGTGCTGCTGGGGTTTCAAACGCGTTTGAAGTCGGCAACGGCACGACCTGGCTGTGCAAATCCAGAGTAAAACCCACCACGCTTGCAAGAGGAGCCAATGGCCCTGAGAGCTGCTAGACAGGAAAATGCTGAAGTTCATACCAAGGTTTAAGTTCATGCGTAGTCACGCATTTGAAACCAAAAGGAACAGAGCCTGCTTGTAAGGGGACRTGTCCTTTTCTTTGCCTTTGGATACGCTGCTGGATATTGGTGATAATAGGACAGCCAGGCTTGAATCCTGTTTTCTCACCATTAATGAAGCATGATTTGCAGTGCTTGCTGGGCCTGCGCCTTCCCAGTTATTACAAGGTGCAATGATTGCATATTTACATTTGCTGATGATGCCAATGCTTTTAAAAAGAAGGTATAGAGGTTTTTATGTAACTTTCAGCTGGAACAAGATGTCACCAACACTTCCCCGCCCCGCTTGTGCAGCAAGTCTGATTGCTGGCAGCGCTTATTAATAGACTTGCTAACATCAACGAAAGCTTTAGGAACACTTAAGAGGTGCAGAAGCACCAGTGACTGCATCTCTTGCCATGTTCTCTAATAATATACGGAAAAAAACATATTGTTGTAAATAATRCAGTTTTGCATTCTACCTGAGACAACTTTTTGCCACCTCCAGAGTTGCCCCTTATTTTTAAAGCAGCACCCAGCAATTCTGATGTCTGTGATGTGCACACCAGGATAATTTAGGGCCAAAATCTCTCCCRCTACAGTACAGTGTGTGCTTTTAAAATTCCTTTTTGCCAGAGTGACAGCATTAGCTTCTGAGAGAACAGATAGTGGGAGCTCCAGTTCTGGATTTCTTATCCTCCAGTTCCRTGGAGGGAAGGTAATTCACTTTAGCCATATCCAAAAGCTTCTGTGCTAAAAGAATGAGTCCATTTGAAGTGATTTGAATACTTTGTTCTCCTATGTTACATTATCAGGCAGGATGTGGAAGGTTAAACTACATGTATGTTCCTGTATTATAGTCCATTAGCTGTGCAAAATTTGGTCCAGACTCTGCTACTCGTTCTGAAGTCTGCTATGATACAAAATGGTCTGGTATCAGGGCTCTCCAAGGGCTGCCAAGATCAGCCCTCCGAAACCAGCAGTAACGGTTAAAGCTGTTTTGCAGGGAGCTGTATGAATATGAAGAAAGATGCAGTTCACCCTGGAGTTGTGCAGAGGGAAAGGGCTGTCTCTCCATTCTGCAGCACGAGATCTGTCCTGGCAGTGTCAGCACCTCAGAGCTGGGTCTGCAACGAACGCCTGGGACTGGTGAATCGGGCACCGTCCTCCACAAACAGCCCGCGGGGCTGCCACAGGCTCAYGGTCAGCCTGGGTCCAGGTTATCGTGTCACTGGGAGGGACAGGGCCTGCAGCCTTCTTTCCTTTTTCCTTTCCTTTTTCCAATTGTTTTCCTTTTTCCATTTTCTTTTTTTTAATTGGCCTTTAAGGAAAAAATCCTCCATAAATTATTCATTCTAGCTTTGCACTGCCTCTTGTCAGATGAAATGGCAACCTGCTGAGACAAAAAGAAAAAAATGTATTAAATCCCCATATTTTTTTTCCTGCAGTAGACAGGCATTATGAGAAAGGCTGAGAAAGGCACTTACTGATCAGCCAGAGCCCTGGGATATCTTTTTTTTTTTTCAGACAATTTTCATCTCAACTGTCCATGATTTTGACCCTTTTTGCTACCACTTATTTCTGCATAATATGGATTTAAAACCCCTACCACTCTGTTTTGCTAGCTGAGAGCATCCATTTGGCACATCCACGAGTGTGAAAGGTAACACAGATTCAGCAAATTGCCCTTATCCTTTAATTCCTCCTCTTTAAAAAACACACAACCCTCAGCAAGCCTTAGGCACTGAAGAGGGTTTAGGTTTTTTGTTGTTGTTTAGTATTTCTGCTTCTCTTGCTGCTTCATTGGGATTTGAAAGCCAAACTTTTAGGTGATGACATAGAAAGATGTAGAAATACTGAACATGAGACAAACTGAAAGGGATTTTAACTTTCAGTGGAAAAAGCATCTCTTGGGGTATTTTGGGAGGGTTTGTGTTTCATGGCACTTGTGTGAAGGCTGGGTGGGAATCAGAAAKGAGGATGGGTCTTTTTGCACTTTTTCACATTTTGTGACTACAGATACTCATGGTTTTGATGTATAATCCTGAACTCCTTTAAAAAATGTCTTGTTATCAGAAAAATGCTTGGAGCAAATCTCTTAAAGACAGATGAAGCACCCAAAGCATTCGCAGGACTGCATTAAAATAGAAAACTGTCGAAAGTTTTCACAAAAAAATCTGTGCTCCTCCATCCCAAATTGGGAGGAAATGAAACAAACATCTGCCCCTTAAATTGCAAGACTCCACACGTTGTGTAAAATGGCCTGGGGCTTTGATCTCATCTTTTATAATTGGATTTGCTGGGACTGATTTAGACCTACATGTTGCTGATGCTGCCGAGCTGCAGTATCTTGGGCAAGGGGAGAAGGCAGAGGAGGGGACCTGGGGCTTGTGGGGGGATGCAAGCGGGCTGGTGTTTAAACCAGTTAACTCTATAATCTGTTCAGCTGGCAATGTACTAAATCACAAGGAAGCAGCAAAAGTGAGGGATTAACCTGGTTTGTGTGCCCATTTTGGCCTTTGCACCAGCTTAACTAACTGGGTTTGTAACCCTGGGCTGGCCACATAGTACTGCCCTCACAGACTTTATTCCATGTAATTTTTCTGAGTTTAAATGGTTGCTCCCAGTCTTGAATTTGTCTTTCTCAGAGTGGTCATTGTTCAAGTCATGTTAGTTTAGCAAAGCCTTAGCTTTTGTTGGCAGAAAAGGTGAACTTCACCCTCTTCTGCTTGTGAGTGCACCAGAATACCCAGGGTAAGAGGCTAGCACGTTGGGGAGATGGTTTTGTAGGGATCTGTTAGATACTCCTCCCTGGATCACAGAGGAATGTGAGAGTCTTTAGTCCTCCCTGCAACTCCTTTACCTGACACTCTCCTTGGAGCAGGGATGATCATCCACAATTTGTCACCTTGACTGGTGGTTGTAACTCCTTGACATCCTCTTTTGGCATCTAGGAATGTCTGCCTTGCACTGCAAGCTCGGGCTCTGATGTGAAAACATAAAAGCTCTTCTCATGAAAAAAACAGAAGSAAGGACCTATTCCTGATCAAAGATTTTGTTTTCTTCCTAAAGCAAAGTCAGGATGACATTGCTATTGCAGCTTCTGTTTGCGCCGTTGCTAACCAGTATCATGAGTTAGCGTCTGGAAAGAGGAACATGTGAAAATAAAAACAAGGATATTGAACAGCAGAGATTCTCTACTTCCCCATTGAGTTCTTCCACTTCCTATCCCTTTAGTGAGGAAAAACATGGTATAGGTGCAGAATGGAATGGCTAGGAATCAGTTCATGATTCATTGACGTAATACAGTTCACTTGGAGCCACAGCTGTGGAATTAATAATCTACAGTTTGTTGATAAAACCATGCTGCATTTGAACATTTCAGACTTTGAATGTCCAAACTAATGAAATAATCTTAGAAAATATACTATAAAATAGAAAATGCCCTTTAAAATACGAGCACTGCTTATTTCTCTTGGGGTGTTCCCCTACCCCGCAYGCAAGCTAACAGAGCRAAGTGGTTATCTGGCTGCTGCTTTCCATGCCATGTTGCAGATATGCTATGGGCCAGTCTCGTGGCAATGGGGCCAAATGGTCACTCCCTGACAACCTGTGATTTATGCACAGCAGAACTTTCTCAGAAGGCAGCATGTAAAATCTCCCAGGTTTGATCCCTCTCAGCTGTCTATCCCAAACGGGAGCCGGATTTCTCCTGAAGCATCAGGGATGGGAGATTTTAGCTGCAGGTCTGCAGCTGGCTGGGCATAGAAAGAGGACAGAGAGGTTCACCATCATGTGTCCCTGTGCCTCCCATCTTACATGTTGGAAGACTGAGCTTAAATGCCACCTTTCTTTATTCAGTGCTGAAAACTTTTAAATAAGTCTTCTGCTTGCACAGAGATACAGGGCGATAATGACTCGCTGTGTTTTAGTCTGCAGGGTAAATTGTGCTCTTTTCTTGGATTTCATGGTGTATCATGCTGAGCATGAATACAAGGGTCTGAGAACTTTCTTCAAAATTAAGTCACATGTCTTTCCCTTTTTGAATAGCAGCATTGACTGCTTCCTTCTCCCCTCAGATGAATGCACAAACAGTTGTTGGGGGAATTCTTGCAAACTGGGAAATCTGCTGTGTTGTGTCACAATTTTAGGCCTGATAGAGAAAATAAACTATTTTGGTATGGCCTGATGCAAACCAGAGATCCCCAGCCTGAAGAGGAGAAGTGATTTAAAATAGTACATACGCCAGAGGAAGAAAAACGCAAATTATGAGAATTACAAGTGAAGATACTGCAAATGAAGGACATGCAAAGAGTAAACATGGAG